TTATTGTTGTTTTCTATTTTGGCAATATTTTCTGCAATAGGCAACCATAATGTCCATGTCTCGAGTTTTTCATCCCATATCCAACATCTGATGATGTTTTGTCTTTTTGATTTTCTCGATCCATACTCAGAGACATTTTGGATGTTCTATAGAATAGGTGGGCAAACTCCGCCAACTCCGCAACTCCGACATTAAAAAATTAATGATTACTAATCATTAGCGAAGTTAATTCTTATATTGCCCACCTATTCTATAGAACATCCAAAAAGAGGTTGCGTTAAATGATGTGCCTCAACTTAGTACAGTATTAGTAAAATAAATATATGAAAAGTAATTTTTATCAGATTATAATCACTCGATCCATTTTATTATGTGTTCAATTAAAAATTCATTAAAAATACAATCCTATAAAGCTCGACAAACATGAATCTTAAAAAAGAAGTAAATATAGTATTTATAAAGATACACTAAAAAAACATTTGTAATACAAAATTTCGTATATCATTTTATAGTCTTGCAGGTTAAAATTATCTATTAATTATATACATTTGTGTAATATAGAATAAAAGAAAATTTCATAAATGGTTTACAGCAACAATTAATCTTATATTTTCCCTTGTATAAAATTCTAAGGATCAAACTGTTTTTTGTATTGCTGGTTAGTGAAATGAAAAAAAAACAATCTCTGACAAAAAAAATCCTGTAAATAACTCACCGATTCACCATTCATTCTAAAGTTATTCGATACCTTCTGATACTTCAGTTTGAACACTTGTGTAACTCATTGCATTTTTTTCCCAGACCTTACCATTACCTGGTGGAGATATTGGTATTGGTAGAAATATCGTATATATTGGACTTCAACCGATAGAATTATAAAAACTCTCTTAATAAAACCAATTTCAAAGCAATAAAGAAAATTTAATCTTTAAAAGTACCTACTATTTGCTATGTAAGATAAATTTTTCAAATAATAATAAAAGTAATATGCTTAGCGATTATCAACTCCTTACTATAGAATTCTTAAAATTTAGTCAAAAATACTTACTAATTCCGGCCAACATTAAAGAACTGACACAAATTTAATAAAGGACCGAGGTCGTATGGATTCACATATACCTAACCGAAAGAAAAACTAAATCAATATTCTGAAATTATATATGTATATATTACTTTGGCAAAACTGTAATTACCTCTCCCTTTGCTTTTGCAGTACGTTTCGCATACTGATTGTTATAAAACTCTACTGTTGTTTGTGCAGTCATGATCTAAACGCAGACCAATAATTAGCATTCAACTTTTTTCTCTTTCTATATTATTAAGACAGTAAAATTGACTTACTAGATAGTAATGCCATGAGCACATTCCCCCTACATACAATATAAAAAGTAGTCAATTTTAGTATAGAATGAGTTATCTAAACGATTAAAAGAAAAATTTATGGCATACCCAAAGCCAGGCCAATTGCAACCGAAAGCAAAAACGATAAAGCCATATAAGGACGTGGCATCCACCACTCCCACTGAAATACATAGATTATTAGCCATTATGTACTTGATTCATTGCCATGCTAAACGGGAAAAAAAAAAAAAATTGGATGAATTGTAATACCACCCCAGTTTCTTCCAAACTCAATAAAAATGGTTTCCATCCAACGAGAGCAAAGTAAAAACATCCAATAACCAAATAAGTCATAAATAATAAAAAGTAACGATGATTGAAATGTCCAACACAATTTGCTATCCAAGGGCAATGGTGATCAAATCTTAACACACATTTTCTGCAAACAGAACAATGATGTGCACGCTCAGGTTTTGGAAGGTGACCTTTTAAAATAATTAAGCAATAAAAATTAAAATAATTTGAGAATGAATCAAAATTAGAAATGAAAATCAAAATTAGATAAAATAATTAAATTAATACATTTTTTGCATGTTTTTGGAAATTCTTGATATTCTTCCAATTCAAGAAACAAATCTTGTAATGTTGGATCATTGGAGTCCTAAATTATTAATGTTAGATTACATTGAAAATGAAGAAAAAATTTTACGATTCAAAAAAATAAAGATAGCTTCTTACCGATTGCTCAACTCCAGCATTCAATACACCACCGGGCTTTGTTCTTATGGCCATGTAATAATGGAAAAAGATGCAGACAACAATATATATACTAAATATAAAACCCACATAGTAATAGAGTTTCGTCCAAATATAATCGTCGTCCCACGTATAAAAGTACGGAAATACTACTGTAAAGTATACTGTGGTAGCAAGGCCAATCAGCCCAACCGCAAGAACGATAAAAACGGGCCCAACAGCCAGTATAACCGTATTGGCCGCTTTATCGGCGGCCGCTATAAAATTACGCCATAAATTAGAATACATTCTACAAGAATCAATTTGAATAAATTTTCTTGGTCATTGAATTTTTTTGATATATACTAGAGAATCCATACAATAACCATACCGACTGTCTCTATATCGGACATATGAGAATGAAGGAGGTTACAAAGTTTATTAATGCATGATATACGTGCACAATTTATAGTATACATGTGATTTGTGCTTCTTCCCAGTGTTTCGTATCCCGGTATAATTAACCCTATCGCATTTACTAATTTTACCCCAGGTTTCACGATTCTGGCCAATCAGAGGACAGGATCAGGTGTAACGTGAAAATTAAAAACAATCACTTGATTTTTGAAAAATCACATTAATCTCAAAATTTCGCCTAAGAAACCATCTTTTGTGCACTAATAAAAAAAATTCCTTGCAAAATTTTAGTATAGGGGCACCTTCTAACTCTATTGCTAACCCTAGCCAAGGCGTCATATTTTAAAAAGAAGATGACATGTAAACAAATCTAGCCAATCAGAAACCTGGGGGTAAATTAGTAAAAACAACCCTATCAACATAACCTAATTACAACTCTACTGACATACGTAACAAGTGCAGCTTTATGCTAAATCAAGAAATTTTACGTATGTACGTACGTCGTAAATACATTATCAGTTATGACTTTCCTTGGTTTGATCATGATTTTAAACAAGATTTCAAACTTTATTATTCGTTGTACAAATTTTATCAGAAACCCTGTCTAGCTAATTTAATTCAACTAGATCTAGTAAAGAAAGGGGAAAAACGTGAGCAGAGAAATGTAAATAAATTATAAAATTTTTTCTATCTCTACGTTTCGTGGATACAGTAGTCATTTTTGCCTAAAAATAGATCTTGGCTTTTTCTTGTTCGATTAATAAAGAAGTTTACATTGTCACATAATTCCTTATATTATTCTTTAAATTTACAAATGACATAGTCAATTAATAAAAAATGGTTAAGGTCGGTTTTTAATTTCATATAACCTATATGACCTTTATAAACCTAACTATTATTGGTGAACGTGATTTTTAGCCAATTAGATCGATGGATCAGGTGTACGTACGTAACTAGAGGTGCGTACTTTGCCGTAACTATAATTATTGGGATCCAAGTTGCTACGTAGAATTGAGATGCATCTAAATATTCTCATTAGAGTGTCCAGAATTCTGCGGTGCATAATTCTGCTCACTCTAAAAATATCTTTTTGTATTGTCTCCGTAAGATAAACGTGACTTTAATCATTTTTTAAAACCAAATACAATACAAAAAAATATTTTTAGAGCGAGCAGAATTATGCACCGCAGAATTCTGGACACTCTAATTCTCATTCGAGGTATAGGGATATATCGTCTCTACAATTTACGCACAGTCGAAATTCCAATTCAACCAACAGATGGAGATATTGTGTTTAAATTTGTAGAAACATTATTGATAATACGAGTATGTGAAAAGTAAATTTTATTCAAATTTATTTTTACTTCAAATTTAACACATTTCGTAATCATAATTGTAGAATATATTGCATATCAATGTATCTCTCCTGTATTATGCGCTTACAATTAGTTCAAGTAGTAATACAGAAAGTAACTCTACGGTACCATCTTCACCGAATTCACCAAAAACCAGAAAGATAAATAAAAGAAGTCCTTCACGTGAGAGATTAAATAAGAAAAAAGCACGGAATTGAGGAAAAGATGTCTTTCTGTATTTTATTTTGATTTTTATATAATAAAGCTGGTCCTGGTGGCTGATTTCGCATACATAATCGTGTTTTACTTTTTATATGTGTATTTCGTGAATTTATTCTAATATATTGCTATTGCTTATGATCGAGAATTTTTAAAAATTTTTCTTGGCATCAGCGTTACAAATTGTAGCGCACACGTGATTGAACAATCTAATTTGAACGATTCAAAAAATTAATCAAGTAATAACCATTCTCTCTATTTAATCATCTCATACCTCTAGTCCGGAAGATGAGGTATGTATACCCGATGAAACCTTAGATGAAAATAACGATAATGAGAATTTCTTCGATAATGAGAATTTCTTCGATAATGAGAATTTCTTCGATAATGAGAATTTCTTCGATAATGAGAATTTCTTTGATAATGAGGAAGATGATAAATATAGTTTTAGTACAAGCGTATCATTTTCTGATGGCGATGAAGATGCAGGTATAAAGTCTGCTTATTTATTGCTGCAATTCTAAACGTGTTTTCTTATATGATAAGCATCATAATGTAATATAAATAATAAATGACTTGGATATAATCAGAAATCTCAAATGCATGTACGTACAGTACGTACAAGATATTAAATCAAACATTTTATCTTGCTCAAATAAAAATGGATCTTAGTGAAGAATTGAAATTTTGTACCAATGACACTATATATAATTTTTAAATTATTAATTTAAATATGGCGAAGCACAAGAAATTCTAATATTTTAGATTAATATAGCATAATACAGTAATAATGGATCTTTGCATTGTTACACAAGATTTTTATTATTTGCAGACATGAAATTTTATATCACGTGATTTCGAAATTTTTTGGGTATTTAAATGAATTGACATGATTCTTAACGTTAACGTATCAGTAAATACCTAATATCAAATATGAGAAATTCTAAACAAAAACGAAAACATTTGAAATCATTTTCTAAAACAATTTCAACTGATAGTTCAAGAGTTCATTCGGTACAGGACAATCAGCATGTTTCAATTCCACAGGTTTCTACACTGCTTAATAAACTGCGTCAGGAATCTCGACCTAAAAACAACCAAAGATCAACTGAGACGTTACCGACACCAGCATACAAATATTTAATGAGGGATTATTTAAATCAAGTTGAAAGTGAACAGAGGGAAAGGATTGAAAACGATCTGAGACTACGTGTATCAGGTCCGTTACCACCCAAAAGTTGGCGAGGTGCGTGGTATTCCGAAACTAACTTGAATGAATGTGGTAAATCAAAATCGCAAATTGAAGTACGAAAAGCAAAGAAAAGTGCTTGGAATGGTGAGAGAATGATTTCTCTACCATTCGTGATTTTTATTTTTAATTTTCTGATTTTATCAATTTTTGTAAAGCTTTTACAATATAATGTGATTATCTTATATTTGACTTATAATTACAGGACTATCGTCTTCCAATGTTGATCTGCCATCACTCACTACTACCGTAAAACGCCGTATAAGGTACCCCCCTTGATTTGTACCGGGTACGTTTCAAGGTCATCAGATGCGGTATTTTGTAAGATACCCGGGTACGAATC